TTTATCACCAAACCCAACGCCAGGCCTTTTGGGACCACCAAGTCTGAACGCTTTCTACTGTCCTTGCAAGTCAAGCTCGGTAACATCATACAGGTATCTCTCGATGGACTCGGCCCCATCTCAAAAAGTGAGTTCGCCACCAACTTCCCTCGTGTCGACCTTCAATCTGGCTACCAGGTCATCTGTGCTATTATACAGGCAGTTCCCAAGCCGTGGCAGGATGAAATCCTTGCCCCTTCCCTTGTCGTTGCCTCTCAAGGGGACTGTTTTATCCCGAGCTGCGACCTACACTCTCCCCCCTCCCTCCTACTTCAAACAACCTCTTTCACCCCCCCTTTCTCGCTCTCTGCCACCCTTCTTCGGGTGCTGCCCAACGGTTTCTTTGAGCGCACCCCTCTTGGCTCCGGTATCTTCCACATTAAAGATGTCGTAGCGGTCCACAATCAAGGTCATTGGGTGGCTGGTCCGCTGCATACAGGTGCAGGGCTCTGCGCGCGGCTGGAGGTTCTTCGTGATGGCGTCCCGAGCCTATCTGCTATTCGACAACTACTATACCCGCAACGACCGCTCAACCACGACACCCGTTGGACCCACGCCCTTTCCTCCCCCTTACCCACTCCTCTCCCGGACCTCTCCCACGACTTTCTTCGCGAACAACCCAGCCTGCAACGCGATCTACTCTTCCGACCGTATACTCGCTCTCTCCCTTCAGGCTCCCGGTTCCTGTTCTCAGCAGATAGGGGCCGATGCTCGCGCTGCCAGTCCCATGACATCGAGACTATTTCTCACATCTTTTTCACCTGTGGAGCGGCCCCCACTGTGACGGCTGCTCTGGGATCCATTGCTCGACGCCACTTGGGTTGTAGCCCTCCGAACGAACACATCTTCTTTCTGCTTTCTTCTCGTTCTGGCTGGACTGCCCCATGGAGCCTACTGGTCGGTGCTGCTGCCAAGGAAGTCTGGAACGCCCGCTGTGCTCAGAGATCCAACAATGTTGTTACCTCCCGCTTTGAGATCATGCAACTCATCCTCGCGCAGTTCCTCTTAGCCTTCAAAATATTCCTCTAGAGACGCTCTAAACAATCTGCCAAGAAACAACAGAAAACAGTGTCTCGCGTTCAGGCGGCTGGCCGGCTACGATTCATATCTTTTGATGCTGACGGTTCCCCCACAATCCATCCGGACCTACGCGCCTCTTGGCTGCTTGGAAACCCCTTTCGTCCGCCCTAACTTGGCTCTCGGTTCGTCACAGAATACACCTCAGCAAAGCTGGCGGCTGTCCGCTAGGATAGGAGAATAACGTGTTCAATCACGTACGCCAAACGGTCGTTGGCTTGCTTAGCCGTATTCTCAGTTATTCTGTGTTTTGTATGTAACTGATTACGAACTTAATATATTCCTATTCCTATTCCATAATCAGGTTGAGCAACTAGGTTTGCAGGTTCGGCGGCACAATTCAGCTTCGGGAATCTTGAAGGAGGTCAGGTACGGGGCACTGGTTACCCATTGACTCTCACTCTAGGGTCCCGATTCTGGTGGAAGGCGCGCCTCGGTCGCAATCTCAACCATGAACTCCCCTACTTGAGACCACCACGTGCTCATCCTGTGCTGGTGCTCGCCGCCGGACTAAACAAAAGTTTAGGAATCGCAGTGGTGCTTCACCAATCACGACTCACGAGCGATTAGTATTTGTTAGTCTAAAAACTTGCAGTGCTAGGGCAGAAACTAAATTGACGGAATCGTTTTTGAAGCCGTTTGTAAAGATCGTCCGTCACGATCGTGTTCCTGGCCCCTGTCAAGATAAGTTCTGTCATCCGCGTTCAGCCCGTCATTCGTTAGCGTGGTAAGTGAGTTTCCCATTAGATGCAAGGGAAATAAGTGGGTTTGTAAGTGGGCAAGTGGTAAAACTGTCAAAATATCAACGGCTAGATTAACAAGAGGCGACGAATTCGTCTTAGGGTTGCGAAGCGTTTTGCGTAATTATATAAATTTGTACAACTTCTAATTCTGTACATAATGCTGTAATATGACACTAAGTGGTACTTCCTCTCACCAGGAAAAGGTTAAATGTACAGCGCGAACGAGATTCGAACCAAGGACCTTTCGATTCCACTCCAAGCCTTGTACCACTGCTACAGCACAGATGTTTACCTAGAACAGCTAAATAATTCAGAAATAAAAACATGCGACGAATCTGAGACTACCTTAGGGTTTGCCGGCCCTTTTTTTCTCCCGCTTTTCCTCGCTCGTCACGCTCTACCAACTTCTCCACCTACTCTAACTGCAACTTAGGTAAGAAGATCCCTCAACTTTAACTCCAACTAAATTAGATGCCTATTAGATAGACTAACATTTAGTCATTCCGTATCCTAGCCGTGTAAATGGATGAGTATTAGCGAGACTTAGTTGTTTAAACTTAGGTTCTCGGCCCTTTGTAAAGATTTCAGGTTCTCCTTCCTGCATAAGCTTGCATCTGTTTCTTCTATTCTTCATCCTTAAACTTTTCCTCTCGTCGGTTGCCTTTTCTTCATATTTGCATGTTTTAGTTCATTTTTTTCTCAACCTCGTCTTAGGTTGTACATAAAGATTGTAATAGGTTGCATGTTCAGTCCATTTCGTTCTCTCTCGCTCGTTCTCTCTCTCCCGTTCTCTCTCTCCCGTTCTCTCTCTCCCGTTCTCTCTCGCTCGTTCTCTCTCTCCCATTCTCTCTCCCGTTCTCTCTCGCTCGTTCTCTCTCTCCCGTTCTCTCTCTCCCGTTCTCTCTCTCCCGTTCTCTCTCTCCCGTTCTCTCTCTCCCGTTTTCTCTCTCTCGTTCTCTCTCTCGTTCTCTTTCTCGTTCTCTCTCGTTTTCTTTCTCTCTCGTTCTCTCTCTCTCTCTCTCTCTCTCTCTCTCTCTCTCTCTCTCTCTCTCTCTCTCTCTCTCTCTCTCTCTCTCTCTCTCTCTCTCTCTCTCTCTTTTGTTCTCCCTCTCTCTTGTTCCCTCTCTCTCGTTCTCTCTCTCGTTCTCTCTCTCGTTCTCTCTCTCTCTCTCTCTCTCTCTCTCTCTCTCTCTCTCTCTCTCTCTCTCTCTCTCTCTCTCTCTCTCTCTCTCTCGTTCCGTCTCTGTCGTTCTCTCGTTCTCTTTTGTCAAATCTCTCGTTCGTTCTCTCTCGTTCGTCCACTCTCTCGTTCTCGCTCTCTCGTCCTCTCTCTCTCTCTCTCTCTCTCTCTCTCTCTCTCTCTCTCTCTCTCTCTCTCTCTCTCTCTCGCTCTCGCTCTCGCTCTCGGTCTCCGTTGTTCTCGCTCAACGTATTTGTTATATTCTCTTCGTTCGTTTACTGTCTGGTCATGTGTTTTTCCCTTTGTTCTCGTTCTTTACTTTCGTTTTATGCCTTAGTACATTTTCTCCTTGTTATTTGTCAGCTCTAACCCTTCAATGCTCATGGCGTTTTTCTTGGCCCTTGTATTGTTTCATTTGTTTCTTCATTATTCCCTTTTCTTGTAATTTCATTATGCCTTGTTATTTCCCATTTGCCTTCCCTTCCTCAACCCAGCTTTGTCTTACTTTTCAGGCAGTCGAGCTCAATATGAGAAGTAGACTGATATTGCTTGTGACTTACAGTATAGGATACATAATGTCTTGGTGATTTAGGTTTCTATTTCATATGCGGTTAATATGCTTTGTCAGTTGGCTTCGTGCGTGCGTGTCCGTGTGAATGTGTATGATCATGTGTATGCGTTGTGTTGTGTGCGTATGCGTTTTCATTCATGTTTCCATTGCATTGATAACACATGTCTGTGGGGTTTAAAAATTGGGATCAAACTATCATTTCCGAGAAGGTTCTTTGCGCACTCAGTGAGTGTGTCCATTCGAACTGGATTTGATGGAATCGACCTGTTTTTTATATCACACAGATTGTGTTGTTTCATGTAACAGTTGGATGATTCAGAAATTATGCTATTGAGCTCCCCCCCATGCTAGGCAGGGGATGCGGTAGCATAGGGTCTGCGTCAATTAACTGTTACGCACTTCCATCATGCTGTGCATTTATTTCATTACGGTACCGGTAGTACCGTATATGCATTATACTTCTGCATTTGCATTTACTTCATCTACTTATAACAACAGCAGACATATGCATCACGGAATAAACAGTTATGCATTCACAGTACATCATTTTGGCAACTCATGAAATATAGGTTCAGTCAAAGTAAACTAGGAAATGAGAAAGAATGTGGTTCAGCACGTGGTAAATTGACGCGGCAGATACATAGCAGTCAGTCATTTAGCTAGTACCGTTCACTAGATTTTTTCCCTCTATTTTTTAAAGGTATTGAAGATTGAAAAAAAAAATTGTACATAACGATTGTAATAGGTTGCTTCGCAACCCAAAAAAACGAGTGTAAGCTGGATGTCGTTGCCTGTGTTGAGTTGCAAAAGGAGCAGGATAACAGTGGATGGCGGTCGGGCATCGAATGTACAGCAAAGTACAAGACTTCTAGATTGAGAAAGCTTGCTTTCTTGTCCTTATAATTTGGCATCGTTCTCATTGCAACTGGCTTATTACAACATATGCATCGTTCGTAAACACATGCTAGTACATGCAAATATTACTAGCTATGGAGTCGTCCGTCCAAGCAGCTGTGGTCTTGTAGTTGGTCCGGGGTGGGTGGTGGGGATGTTGATTGAGCCGTTGGAAAACGAGAAACGTGGGTGGAGGGAATGAACTCCAACCCACGGTTTTTGTAGTTGGAGAAGGGCGTTTAGCGCGCTTCGACGCTGCCAAATATTCGGTACAGTCAGCTTCGCTTTCACAATACACAATTTTGAAAAACATCAATGTGTTTAAAAATTATAATTTTACTTGCAGCATGTACCACCATGTTCTTACCAGCATGTAAGCATCTCCCATACACGCAACATCACGAAACTGCGTAGACTGCATCATTTCCTAATAACCACACTTCCCTTCCCCCCACGCAACTCAGCCACCTCTGAACGACCTTAACTCCCTCATGAATCACACATCCTCCTCTAATAGCGTCCTCAACGCCCGCGTCACATCATTCACATCTACACCTCCCTTATCATTCGGCTCTATTCTCATATACCGCAACCCACGGTGATTCGCAAGCAGTTGGTAATGGTCCCTCGCATCTGCCATCGGCCGTAGCTCCACGAGAGCCGATCCCGGGCGCATGTACATGACATGAGTGAGACCGGCCCCGTGCGCACCCACAATCACATCAGCCCAGTATACTGCTTCCATCTGCTGCCGGAAGGACCAGGCTGTCATGGTGCCGTTGAGAATAAAGACGAGGCGCGGCACGGGACCCGCTGCTGCTGCTGCTGTTGATGATTCCGCTTCTGCTGCTCGCGCCTCGTTCCCTCCTGCCTTTAGCCCCTCCTGCTGCTTCTGTTGGTGGGGGTTGGAGATTAAATCTGGGTTGAGCCAATCACCGTGACTCATTTGCAGCTGCCTCCTGTTCGGCTTGCTCGATGGCTTGCCTCTGCCGCCACCCAACCTATCCTGCCACTTTTTCTCTTTCCTGCTGCTCCGTCTGTGCCTCTTCTTCCTGCCCACTCCTCCTCCTTCCCACCCCTGTTGCTGTTCTCTTCTCCTTTTAGCAGCAGCAGAAGCAGAAGCAGAAGCAGAAGCAGAAGCAGAAGCAGAAGCAGAAGCAGAAGCAGCAGCAGAAGCAGAAGCAGAAGCCGAAGCAGAAGCAGAAGCAGAAGCAGCGGCGGCAGATGAAGAATCACCCGGAATAACAGGCCCAACAACAGAAACCGGATCACCCGAAGGACCTCCCTCCCTTCCCCTCCTCCTCCCCCCACCTTTCCCTCCTCCTCTCACCCTCAAGCTCCCCACCGCCCCTCCCGCCCTCCCACTCCCGCCATTCATCCTCCACCAATTCCCCCCACCCACCACGGATCCCATCCTATCCACCCTCTCTGCTGCATCTAGCAGCCTCAGCCCGCCGCGCTCCCACGCCCACTGCTTGAGCGACCGTACGAGGTCGTTAACGCCCTCCACACGCTCCTCCACCCACCCGTTGTCCTCCATGCGCGGGTGGGCGAGAAAGAAGTCTCGCCGGATCACTAGGACTCGCACGGGCCGGGTCCACACGGCTTGCTCTAAGAGGTTGAGAGATACAGGTTCTTGCTCTCCTCTTTGCTGCTGCTGCTGCTCTTGCTGTTCGTGTTGCTCCAGGATTTTTTGGAGACCTGCCTGCTGCTGCTGCTGCTCCTGCTCCTGTGGCTTCCCCTGCTTCTCCTGCTTCTCCTGCTCCCGCTGCTGCTGCTGCCACCACGGCTGCATCCTTTGCCTCTCCTCCCACAGTTGCTCCACCTGCCTGTCCTCCTCCCTCTCTCCCTCCTTCCCCCCTTCCAATTTCCATAACAAGTGCCGCCCCCGTTGCCCTCCCTCCTCCTGCCCCTGCTGCCCCTGCTGCTGCGGGGCTGGATTGCCATCACCCAACTTTCCCCAGTCTACTAAAGGGAAATACCCCAGTTGGTTGACCACAGACGGCCCTGCCACTGCTCTATCCCTCCACCACAAGAACTCCATGCGAGTCAAACCAGCAGCAGCAGCAGAAGCAGAAGCAGCGCCACCACCAGCATCAGCAGCACCCGTCGCAGTATCAGGGTCACGGGGGGTCGAGTCATGGTCAGCAAGGGTCCCGTTTTGTTGGCGGCGGCGGCGGTGCGAGGGGAGGAAGCCAGGTGGCGGGGCGGGGAGCAGGGGGAAGGACCATGGGCCGGTGTGCAGGCCTATGCCATGGGACTTGATGAGAAACTCGGCGAATTCTGTGATGCGCGATGTGGATCCGAAAGGTGTTACGCCCCACTCTTTGCCGCCCTGCACTGCCGTGTCTGCTACACACCTGGTGGGGAAACGGATGGGGAAGAGGGCGGGGAGAGGAGGAGAAGGGTTGATGGAATGTGTCTTATCTGATGTATGTGCGAGGTGGTATTCAAGGGGCCCAATTCCCATGCAACATACACCGTGCACCATGCACCATGCACCACGCACCACACACCATGCACCATGCACCATGCACCATGCCCCATGCTTCGTGCACCATGCTCCATGCACCATGCCCATGCTTCGTGCACCATGCTCCATGCCCCGTGCAACATGCATCATGCCCATGCCCCACGCACCATGCCCCATGCCCCATCCCCCATCCCCCATCCCCCATAGATCATATGTGATGCGAGAGGTGGAGCCGAAGAGTGTACGTACCTTCACAACACACCTCCTAACCAGCAAGCTCGACTGGACTTTTGGCTCGACTCAAAAGTCAACTGATGGGCGACCGCGCACCTCCTAGCAGACAACAAGGCAGCCCCTCGGAATCACTTTTGAGAATTCTCAAAAGGTACGTTGTGAAGTGAAAGCACAGCGCAGAGGTAGGAGTGGAGGATGGGCGAGGCGTAGCCGACTGGGCTGGCTGGGCTGGGCTGGGCTGGGCTGGGCTCACAGGCACAAACAGAACAGTGTGTTCGTCTGCTCACGGGATGGAAGCATGGTGACTCTATCATGCTCTGCTCTGCTCTGCTCTGCTCTGCTCTGCTCTGCTCTGCTCTGCTCTGCTCTGCCCTCTCTCTCACCGCAACGCGTTACGCACCTCCTCACTGGGACGCTCTCCTTAACGTAGGAGGTGGAAGATGGGCGAGGCATAGCCGACCGGACCCGCGGGCACAAACAGTGAGTGCGTAGTGGAAGCGCGATAACTTGAAGGTCTGTCTCAGTGCAACACGCACCTTCTGACAGCCACGGACTCCTTGACATAGGAGTGGAAGATGGGCGAGGCATAGCCCACGGGCACAAAGACTGCGTGGTGGAAGCACACCGCTGTGCCGGGAGGCAGGTGGGGCTGATACTCCTTGATGAACCGGTACGGCCCGAACATCGTTGCCCATGCCTCGTCCAGGTTGCCCTGTTGGAGGAATGGCATACGGGGAAGAAGAGGGGCGGCGAGGGTTTGGGGCAAAGAGCGCTTAGCCAGCAGGCAGGTGCTGCGGTGCTGCTGATACTCCTTGATGGAGCGGTACGGGCCGAACAGCGTCGCCCACGCCTCGTCCAGGTTGCCCTGTTGGAAGAAGAGAGTGGAGGGGAGAGGAGAGGAGAGAGGGTTGTGAAGATGCTGAAGGTGGGAGGCAGGTGCTGCTGATACTCCTTGAGCAGGCGCATGGCGTGGAAGGCGCTCTGCCAGTCCGTGCCCCCCCCGCCCCCCCACCCAGCACCCCAGCACCCCAGCAAGCAGCACCCCTCCCCATCCCCACCTTGGCATGCGCGTCCAGGAAGACGACGAGAGGCCGCACGCAGATGTGCAGCAGGCGTTATTGAAACCTTGCTATGCGCGTATCTTCCCACAACCCTGCCACCCACCCAACCAGCACCCCAGCACCCCAGCAAGCACCATCCCTCCCCATCCCCACCTTGGCATGCGCGTTCAGGAAGACAACGAGCGGGCGCACGCAGATGTGCAGCAGGCGCATGGCATGGAAGGCACTCTGCCAGTCCGTGCTCATTTCACCCATGCGCCCTGTCACACCCCTCACACACCCTCGCCCTCACACACCCTCGCCCTCACACACCCTCGCCCTCACACACCCTCGCCGTACCCCTGCCACCCCACCCGGCTGCTCATAACACCAGCCACCCACTCAACACCCCCCCACCTTGGCATGCGCGTCCAGGAAGACGACGAGAGGTCGCACAGAGATGTGCAGCAGGCGCATGGCTTGAAAGGCGCTCTGCTTTCCATGCACCACCCCAGCACCCCAGCACCCTGCGCACCTTGGCATGAGCGTCAAGGAAGACGACGAGGGGTCGCACAGAGATGTGCAGCAGGCGCATGGCATGGAAGGCGCTCTGCCAGTCCGTGCTGGTGTGGTACAGGTTCACGTACTCGTACCGCGTTACTAGCAACACTGGCCGTTGCTCCACCTGCGGAAGGGGGTGGTGTGGTGTGGTGTGGTGTGGTGGGGTGTGGTGGGGTGAGGTGGGGTGGGGTGGGGTGGGGTGGGGAGTGTTGCAGGCACAAGGGAGGAGGAGACAGAAACTGTGTGCTGGTGTGGTATAGGTTCCAGTACTCGTAGCGCGTCACCAGCAGCACTGGCTGGTGCTCCACCTGCGGTGGGGTGCGTTGGAGGGTAATGTGGTGTGGTGTGGTGTGGTGGGGTGGGGTGGGGTAGGGTGTGGTGAAGGCACGAGGGAGGAGAAGACAGAAGATGTGTGACTGACGGCCTGCCACTCTGCCAATCCGTGCTGGTGTGGTACAGGTTCACGTACTCGTACATCGTCACCAGCAGCAGTGGCTGCCGCCACATGCACCAGCACTCACACACGCACGCACTCACCACGCCGCACTTGATCCGATCAGCAGTGCGCAGGCTCCTCAGCAGATCCCGTGTGCTGCCAACCTCGCTCACCAGCGCCTCTATCCTTGCCGGCGCTATTCCCACCGCCAACGTCCTACCACCACTCTCCCCTGCCGCGACCCCTTCTCCCTTCCCATCCCCCTGCCCCCCCTCCGCTCCCCCACTCCCCCCCACCCCTCCCGTCTCACGCAAACCGCGTCTCATACCTCCCACTCTCCCTCCCACTCCCTCTCCCCCACCCCCACCCCTTCCCTCTCCGCCTCCCCGTCCCCCTCCTCCTCCCCCATCCCCCCCACCTCTCTCTTCCTCCAACCCCTGCAGCAGCACCTGAAACGCCCCTTCCTCGCACATCGGGTATTCCTCCTCTTCTATCCGCCCCATCACACTCCGCACGTCCTCCCCCCCACGCGCCATGAGCATCTTATCCGGGAACACGCCCAGCATGCCTGCCTCGCACACGGACGAGTCTAGAGTCGGGTTGCGTATGCACCGCAACCACCCGTCGCCTCCGTTCTCCTCGTTTCCCCCGGCTACCCATTTCTCTCCGCTCTGCCCTCCCTCCCCTCCCCCTCCCCCTCCCCCTTTTCCTCCGTCTCCTGCCCCTCCTGATCCCCCTCCTGCGCCTCCTCCTGCCCTGTCGCTCCCCCCATCCGCACTCCCCCCATCCCCACTCCCCCCATCCCCGTTTCCCCCATCCGCATTCCCCCCATCCCCGTTCACCCCATCCTCCCCGTCCCCACTGCCCTCATCCCATGGAGCATGCGGGAAGGTGCCCACAGGGGGTGTGCCTAGCAATGTGTGCACCTCCGAGTACCCGTCCCCCCAGAAATTCTCGCACTTCAAATCCGCCTTATCCAACCCCTCCCTCCACGCCACAACTGCAGCACTTTCTTCTTCTTCTGCTCCTGCTACTGTCTGGTTGTCATGGGGGTTGGTAGGGGCGGTGGCAGCAGCAGCAGCAGCAGTACCCGGAAAGATCCAAGGGGGGTATCCAGATGGCTGGAAAATGTAAGGGGAGCTCATGCGCTCAGCTGCGTAACGGGGGTGGGGAAGATGGAGGGGAGCGGCGGAAGAGGGGAGTTTTGAGTCGACTCCAAAAGAGGGAAGTTTGATGCGCTTCAAAAGTCCCGATGGCTTGAAGATGTATCGGGAGGTGACTTAAAGTTGACTCAAAAGTAAACTTTCAAGGCGCCTCAGAAGATGTATCAGGAGGTGACTCTGAGTCGACTCAGAAGTCACCTCGCCTCACTGACATTCACACTCCCTCGCACTCCCTCACACTGCCTCAAACTCCCTCACACTCCACACTCTCTCACCCACACTCACCCACACTCCCTCACACTCCCTCACCCTCCCTCACAGTCCCTCACACTCCCTCACACTCCCTCACACCTCCTCGCACCTCCTCGCACCTCCTCGCACCCTCTCACACTCACCATAACCACCCGCATCGTCCTCCAGTTCATCCCTCAAAAGCGCCGCCTCTGCTGCACGCCCCACTCCCCGCGCTACCGTCGCCGCTGTCGCAGCCGCAGCAGCCGCCGCTGCTGCTGCTACTGCTGCTCCCCCCTCGCTCCGCCCCCCTCCGCCTCCTCTCTCCGTTATCAATCCCCCCTCCGGGCCACCACTGTTGCTGCTGTTGTGATAGCATTTCCTATCAGGCAGGCCTAGGATATGAGCAAGCAGCAACTTCGGAGTGTCGCTGCTGCTGCCGACGAGAGTAAGGGGAGAGGAATGTGGGGCGGAGAGGGGGGGGGGAGAGGAGCGGGCGTGGAAGCGAAAGGGGGAAGGGGGGGGAGGGAGAGAGGGACGGAGCGGGGAGAAGGGGGGTTTTGGTGAGGTGGCGGGAAAGGGGAATTGAACAGGAAAAGCTGGATCTCAGCGTCATGCAAGACTGAAATCAGAGGGTGCAAATCGGAACGACGCAAATTCATGGCGGAGTTCACGGCGGAATTCACGGCGGATTTCACGGCGGATTTCACGGGAATAACTTGTTTATAGAGATCCGCGCGATCTGCGCCTCACTGTGAGCAGCTCTCGACTGGGAGCCGCGCCGTAGCGCTCACCTCTCAGCTTCGGAGTGCGAGTTGCGATTCGAGCTCCACGTGTACGACGACAACACCACGGCGACGCCCACCAACACCAGCAGCGCCATCGCCCCCAACGCGCGCCGACGCAGCATGGCCCGCCTTGCCGCGACACGGGGACTTCCCCCTCCGCCTCCGCCTCCGGACCCGCCGGCCCCCCCTCCCCTCCCGCCGGCGCCAGCCCATCCCTGCGTGGAGAGCGGCGCAATTCGGCGGGCGGGATTTGACGAGGCGGCGAACGCGCTCATGGGGGGGAAACTCGACTCCAATTCGGAGTTGGGGTTCTATGGCGTTCTGAAACGGTATGTCGGAGTTAGCAACGCGCGAGGTGCCTCGGTATGTCGGGTGGGACGCAGGCGGAGCAGGAACACCCCTGCCCGTCTGACTGCGCTTGCTACGCGGGGGAGTCTCGCGCGGCTTATAAGCCCGAGAAGCTGAACCAGCGGAGACCCAAGAGGCGGATCGCATGCGCGCGCTAATCTAGGAGGAGAATCCGCAGATGCACAGTGCAACTGAGATATTATATTCCGAGTGGTGACTCTGAGGAGCAGGGAAGACTCTGAATTCGACGAGGAAATGGAAGGCGTTGAGCAGAGGGAAGGACAGGTCACCTGTGGCAAATGGAAATGGCAATGGCAAAGGCAAATCATGAGATGGCTAGTCTAGTTGAGGCAAATGGCTCATGGCTACAGAACAGTACAGTACCTGTGAAGTGCAGTGCAGCACTTGACCTGATCTGAGAAGCGGGCTTTTACATGGGGGAAACCAAGAGTCATCATGTACAGTCTGCATATACACATACCAGAAATACATAAATACCGATGTGTATCTTACTCAAACGTACGAAGAGACGCCTAACCCCTGCATACTCTACAAGGATGTCTGGTTCGGGTCGAAACAGAGAGCATGTTCCACCCGCCCGAGACAATAACCGCCTGTTCGCCGACATCGAGTCATAGTGTCCCGCCAGTAGCCCCGGTACCTGAATGAACCGCAAGAAACCTTTCCCAACTTCTGTAGTCTCTGCTTGTCTCAAATTTTCCATCTGGCCAATCACAAAGCGTGATCTGGTGAAAGGCAGACTCGATGCACACTGTTTCAAGGAATCTGTGGCTTGTGGAGCAGATTTCCCAAAGCCCTGGTACTGTACTGATTTCGTTGAGGTTGTTGCGTCCAATCATCACTGATACGGTTGGGAAAGGCCTCGCTAAGACTCACAGTCACTCACACCTGCTGGATGTTTCATTATGTGAGGTTATTGTTAATGCACGTTAAATCAGAAGCAATATATTGTATATCACACCACAAGGCTTCAAACTCGTAATTAACATCGTGCAGCACTCACACAAGATTGCCCCATACTGCTCTTTTTGTAGGTGGGCCCAACTTGGCCGACCTGCGTAAGGTACTGAAAACATCCTAGTCCCTACAAGAAAACATGTACTTGTATGTTGATAGAGAGACAACTCTGGGAACCAAGAGAGTGCATGGGGTGCAAGGCACATCTAGAGACTTTGCACGGGCATGCTCTGCACTTCAAATGGTAGCGCAACAGTCAACACTGAACTCTACTAGATACATGGAAACAAATACAGCAATGACTTGGTAGTCCGGAACCCCATGCACTTTACACAGCCTTCTTCCACATGCACTCCAACAAAACCCTCAACCACCCCTCGCATGTCTCACAAACAAGACACCACCTGCAACACCTACCCCTCGACCCTACTGCCAGCAACCACGAATGGAGAGCACAGCTGTAGAACCACGTGCCATCACCTCAACAACCGATGCTCCTCCTCTTGTCACACCCGCCTTGGGGGGAGATGGTGGCAGGGGCACCGCAGGTGCAGAGAGCACTGCAGCACTTGAAGGTTCCACGGAAACAGAGGCCAGAGGGTGGGAATCAGGCGACCTGGGTGATAAGCTCCCAGGGGAAACTGCACTGCTGGCAGAGCTGCTGCTGCTGCTGAGCTTGACGCTGTCCACCCCACTGATCTCAATGCCATCGCTGCTGCTCTCACTGCTGCTGCTCTTGCTGCTGCTCACACTTGCAGGCCTTTCGCTGCCACCAGCACTCCCCACCTCTCCCATTTCCACAGCATCGCCACCGTTAGGAAGCGAAACAGCAGCAGCAGCAGCAGCAGCAGCAGCGTCAGCAGCAGCACTTTCACCTCTTCCTAACCTCTCCGCCACGGCGAGATCAGCCCCAACAGCTCCTTTAGCTGCAACTGTACCTGCATCCGCAGCAGCACCAGCAGCTGCATGGCAGTGCTTATCCATGAACACCACAACCACTGTGATATCGTCATACACCTTGCGCCTGTGCACAGGGTCCAGCAGTCGCAGCTCCAGCAGGGTCAGCCCCACCTTGCGCGCTGCTCGCAACACGGCTGTGCGGGCTAGGTAATGCGCAATGCCCTGAGGGAAGGGAAGCAAGAGACGATGGAGACAACAAGGACAGGTTAGCTGAAGGACGTCCGGTAATTCTCATGTAACCCCAGAACAGCATCTAGAAAGAGGGCTTGCTCTAAGCTCAGCTCTGGCTGGCTGCTCCCCCCCATCACAGAAAAAAAACCCACCCCTACACCTCCCAGCCTCCCCTCACCCCCAATTCACCCCCGCCCCCCGTCCCGGCCAACCTTTGACCCCGATTCCCCTTCAGCCCGTGCACACCTGTCTTGGGCGCGAGTCAACCAGCTTGACAGCCTCGGCGCGGCTCATATGCTCCCACAGCCCATCTGTCGCCAGGATGACAAACCGGTCCTCACCTGCACCACCCAAATCCATCCCAGCCCATACACACCTGTCTCGGGCGCGAGTCAACCATCTTGACTGCTTCAGCGCGGCTCATATGCTCCCACAGGCCGTCCGAGGCCAGGATGACAAACCGGTCCTCCTCGCCTATCCGCACCTGCACCACGCTCGGGTCACTCCTCAGCAGCGGCCGCCGCAGGGCAACACCCGACGGCGACCCCAGATGGTCCAGGCGGAACCGCCTGGGCAGCGGTGGCTGCTGAAACTCCTTGTGCTTCAGGTAGAAGTCGCCGAGAGAGCGCGTGACTTGGATGATTCCCTTCACGCGCCACGCTCCGTTGCGGTGCATGACGACTGTGGGGTCGCCGGGATGGGACTGCTGGAGACGCTGCCTCTCCCGCTCTTGGCTTGCATTGTGCTCCTCCGATAGAGAAACGGCTGCTACCCCGCCTATCCACCTGCCCAGAAACCCCATGGCCCCACCAGCACCATCACCGCCAGCAGCACCAACCAGGTCACCGTTCATGCTCTCGCCTCTACTGCTGCTGCTCCAGCTGCCGCTGCTGGCGCGACTGCTGTCACTGGCTGCACTATCAATCCTCACTAAGCGACTTTTACCACCACTGCCACCACCAACGCTACCACCACCACCACTGCAGCTGTTGCTGGAGCTGCTCCTTTGAGAATGAGTTGCACCACCACCCCAGCTGAGAAACCTCCCCTTGCTTCGCCACCCCTTCCCCTTTCCACCACTCCCACCAGCATCAGCACCCCAGCCCAGGCCCATCCCCATCCCACCGAACGCACTCTGCGCGCTCTCCAGCAGGCCTCCCACTCGCGGCCGCCTCCTTCCCAGCACGGCACGCGAGTCGCCCAGGGACGCGACGACGAGGGAGGCGCCGTGCGCGGGGAAGAAGGCGACGAGCGCGCAGGTGCCCGTGTTGGCGAGCTCGGGGCGGTGCTGCCACGCGGCGCGCACCAGCGCCAGGAGATCCGCTTCGGTCGACGCGAACGCGGATAGGACAGCGCTGCACGCGCGCTGCTGCTCGTCGTTGGTCGTAATGCGATCGGCGGAGTCCGGTGTCGGGGAGGCACACGTGGCTTTTGTCGTCCCTCCTGCTGCTCCTTCTGCTCCTTCTCCTGCTACTAATCCTGGTGCGAGAGTCGCTGCTGGTGGTGGTGCTGCGGCTGGCGCTTCCTCCCGCGCTGCCTCTCTTTGCACTGCTGCTACTCCGTGTTCGCTTGCGGAGACCACCCCAGAGGCATCTCCCGGCCTTGGGATCACCTCAGCTGCTGATGCATCACCTCCCGGCCTTGGGAGGTTCCCTTCTCCTTCTCCTTCTCCTTCTCCTTCTCCGCCTCCTTCTCCGCCTCCTTCTCCTTCTCCTTCTCCGCCTCCTTCTCCACCACACATACCGCCACCACCATGCGTGCTTCCGTTCCCGTCGTGCACGCTTCTTCCCCCCACGCTGGCCCCACGGCTTTGCTCCTCTGCCTCTTGGAAGGGCCCGGTTCCGAGCGCGCCTGCTCGGGAAAGACAACAAGGCAGACAGACAGACAGACAGACAGACAGACAGACAGACAGACAGACAGATCATTAGGTCGATATAAATATCGGTACGGAAACGCAAAAGACGCACATTCTTGGCGGCGCCTCAAGAAACAACGGCTTCACTCACGACGGCGCGGCCGCCCTTCAAACGAAAAGCAACGCGGCGGGCGAAAACTCACGGTGCACGTGGCCGAGGAGGCTGTCCGCCGCGAAACGCGCCGCGTGCGGGCCGCCATGGCCGTCAAACACGCCGACGAGCGTACCGAACGAGCCCACGTCCACCCGACTGAAGTCCTCGCACACAACGTTACCGTCCGCGAGAGCCATTGACACCTCGCCTGTGGCAGCATGGCAGCATTGGGAGGGAAGGAGGGAGGAGAGACGATACACGAGGAAGAAATCATGTTACGGAGTCGAATCAAAGACCGAAGAGAGTACCGAACGAGCCCACGTCCACCCGGCTGAAGTCCTCGCGCACGACGTTACCGTCCGCGAGAGCCATTGACACGTCGCCTGGCAGCATGCCATTCGGGGAGGAAGGCGGGAAGATGACTGACACACGAGACGAGAAAGATGTTTTCAGGTAGTTTACAGTTCTAATGGAAAAGAGCTCGTATACCCCGTAGTATCTCTACGCGCATTCGTCGTCTGTGCTGAACAACGTTCGCAGTTAGTACGTCGGACAGGCGGCGTCAAGACCTTTATATGGTGGTATCAAACGGCGGACGAGAGATGGATTGACCTAATTTATTGATTCGTACCGGTGGGATGAGGAGCGAGAGGGCAGTTCCAAATAAGGCCATCGCCTTCGTAAGAAGCGACTACTCTAGGTGGATGCGATGGTTCCGATGCCGATGCCGATGTCGCCTGTCGTTGGACGGCCTTTGAAGCCTCCGCTGATGCATCATCTGGAAGAAAAACGAGTGACACCGGTTGAGAGATTATTTTAAAAAAAGACGGGTTTTACGGATTATTGAGATTCACGAAAGGTGGAGTGCCGGGCGAAAGAAGAACAGGCAAAATACGAGTCTGAGTTATATTGATGAACAAAATGGGTCAAATAATGCCCATCGTTCATGCGGAAGACAAGCGGCAAATGATGCGGCATGCTTTGGTTGACAACACACATTCCTTTCGAAAAGATAACAGGGAAACACGAGAAACACGGAATCGTGAACCATCGCTCAAGCATCATGGATCATGAAGTATGCACCAATGGCATTACCAAAGTCACGGACTTGGCTGCGCGATGCAGGGCGAGCCAGCAGACTCTGAAGCGCGGAAGGAACCATGCAGCCTTCGGAGGAGATTCCACAGATTAATCTGGGAACGGACACTGTTACTGGAAGCCGGACGCTAGGAACGTCGCCTCTTATTCCGATCGATTCACAAGCGATGATTTTCGTCTATTGGGATAACACTTTATTCAATTGCCAGCTCACGAGTCGTGCTGACGGCGTTAGTCACACCTTCTTTGTTGCCGATTCAGTATCGGATTAAATATCGACCTTGTGAGGTCGCCGCAATATGTCAGATTCAGCTAGTGACTACGTAGGCTCGCAATATGCCGAAGCCGATCGTAGGAGTGCTCGAGCACTATGTACTTCACGCGCTTGCGAACCTCTATGTGGACGCTACTTCGAATCAGCAAAAGAAACTGGAAACGACAATAACCGAAGAGAAAGGTCGGCGGAAGGAATGTAAAATGTAGGATTGAATGCGGACGGAACTATCTAGGTACAGGAGGCGTATCAATCCACATCCTGACTTGTGTTGCTGCTGCTGCTGCTGGTGCTGCTGTGTTCATGACTCAATGCTGGTACCGTATCTGGTGCAACTCAGCTGAGGTGACCCCTGCCTGTCACTCCATAACCAACAGCCGCCTTAACATCACTCCTTGCTCATTGCTCTGCTCTCCCCGATTTGGAAAAGCCGGATTTTTGTCGGAAATATTACGTTTCTACTGCCCTGATGAGACGGATTGACCCTGCACTTAGTGCTTTGGATTACCAGGTTTTTTTCAAAGCAGGGATGGTGTGAAAACAAGCGCGAAAAAAGTTTTAGGGATGGCTTAGGGGTCCAGCGGGGTAGAACAAAGAATTTCGACCGTGTCTCGGGCAAGAACCATTGGCCGGTGCTGGTCAACAATGTCCGCACGAGAATGAGCATGATGAGTCATGTGACCCACTAATTTCTGGCGTGACGAGCCGTCATTTTCGGGAACGCTGGTCTGACGTGGAGTGACGCGGTCCGCGCGCTATGACTGACAACAGCGAACAGCCGCCGGCTGATGTGACGTATTTGAGGGAAAGCGCCGAGCTGTATGACCTGCCATGCGGTGCCGTGCCTGGCTGGAAGTGATTGGCGGCTTTGGTCAGAGTATTCTCGTGCTGACTCACTCTCTGGCGATTGGTGGATAACCGAGACTGCTGGAGCAAACATTTATAATTGTTGTAATTCTGTACATTACAAGGTAAAAAGCTCCAGCAGTAAAAACTCCAGCATTATAAGGGAAAAGGCCCTATATGACACTCAGCATGCATATATTTCATTCCAAAAAGGGGCAAACAATCCAAAATTGATCCCCAAGGACAGTTAGTGACTCCTGACATATAAGATCAAGTCTAAAGCAGTTACACATGGGGCCCTGTCAGGTAAGACTGAACAGATTATGCTCTGTGAGTGGCTATAAACCTCTTGAGGAAGCTGGCCGTGGACACAGCTGGCATAGCAGCTTGGCTTGAGCACTCCTTTTGGCGAACAGAGGGCCTCCCTTAATGTCTTCGCACGGGATGGTCAAGCAGCATAGATGCTTCAAGGTTGCGGAAAGGCTATGGATGGGGGTGGTGAGGTGACTGGTGAGGTGAGGTGAGTAAGCTTGATGGAGGGTTGTTGGACATGAGAGATGGGGTCTGGCCTGGAAGCTGTTCTTGAGTCTGCTCCCACAAACCATGTGGGTTGATTGCTCATAAAGGCACAAATACAAATGCACAGCTCACAGAATGAAGGACCAAAGTGAACCAAGCGACGGATGAAGGGATATGGGAGATGGCAATGACAGGGAGGTGGTGGGAGGCAGAAGGAAATGAAAGCGTGAGGGGGTGGGTGGGAGTGGGTCGGAGGGTGTGAGGGAGAGGGAGAGGAAAGGAGAAAGAGAGAGAGAGAGAGAGAGAGAGAGAGAGAGAGAGAGAGAGAGAGAGAGAGAGAGAGAGAGAGAGAGAGAGAGAGAGAGAGATGAAGCGCACTTATCCACGCACACACATGCCCTCATTCCAGCTCCACACTCCTCCAACGTAAACAGACACAGTTTACCATCAGCACGCACACAAGGAGTGTACTGCACACAGCTCACTTGTCTGCTTCCAAACCTCTCCACTCCTCCGCACTCCCTCCTCAAAACTCCTCCAATGCCCCTTCTCTAACGAAACCCTTACGCCCACAGCAGCGTTCCCTTGACACTCCTCTCAACCCTTTCCCTCCCCCCTCCTTTCCCCACCCCACTCCCGTTATCCCGAATCTAATCGTACACACCCCTCAGCTGAACACGCTCTCGCCATCCCTCTTCTCGTCCTTTGCCACCCTCTAATCCTCGCCTCCTGTTCTAAACCCCTCCCCTCCCCAACCCTGAATCAATTCAGAGTCTCTCGAAAACTCCTTGTCACCTCAACCGTTTCCGCTCTTCCACCATCAGCGCCCCTGCTACTCCTACAGCCGGGCCCACGACCGACGTGGGAAACACCGCTCCAACCACCATCGCCACTGGCGCGCCGACCAGAGGCAGCTTGCGGATGGTCCCTTTAATCGTATGCACCATCATCACCCCTCCCGCCACGAACAGCAGCAGTCTCCGGCCCTTGTCCACGGCCACGCGCTTCACGACCGCGCGCACGAATGTTTCGAATTGCGCGAGGGAGAGGAAGGCGGAGGCCGCGAGCGAGGGGAAGAGGAAGAGGACGTACTCGCAGTCGCGCTTGGTGGGGGGACGGAGGCACAGACGGCTGGCCCGAGGATCCATCTTAGCGGATACTTTCTGAGAGCGGGAAAGGTGGGAAGGGGTTGGACAGAAAGAGTGGATCAGTGAAGAGCGGACGGGAAGAAGCGGTGGGACTTTTTAAACACGACTCATGGGGAATATAGAAATTAGTGACACTAACGTAGAACGGAGTCTTCGCACCTTAATGACGACTTGAGCTGCTTCCAACAGATACCGCTGTTCCACCCCAGGAGATCCAGCAGCAACCGCCGAACGCGTAGCAGAGGAAGGCGATACTGAGCCTACATCATCCTCCGCTGTGGCTGGTCGTTTCGCGGCGAATCCTTCTTTGGTCACTGCTCTCGTGCCTGTCACGGCAGACTCGCCTCCTCCTCCTCCTCCCCCTCCTCCTCCTACCACGCTTTCTGGAGGCAGCTTGGCGTACTCTGAAAAGGTTGACTGCACTGCTAGCTGGTACGCCTCCGCTTCGTTCAATAACCGATCTACCTGTTTCGAGAACTCAGCACCCATGGCTGACGGAGAAACGCTATGCGTTTGAAGAACTGGATCCTTGGTCCGGGTTAGTGAGCGGGATTACCACAACCAGAAATGTCAGATGGGATCAGCTGTTATTCACTGACGACTGCTTTGCTCACTTGTGAACTACGCGGCTTCAAGATCTTGTTCTTAACCACCGCTGAACGTGCTCCCGCACTCCAAATTCGATGTCGTCAACCTCGCTTGTCCCTCCGTGTACACTTCAGCAAACAAAGCGGTTATGAATTTCAGCAACGATCAGTCAAGTATCGAACGTTCATTTGCTCGTATCTGAAATGCAGATACGCGGCCGGCTGTGTTAATGGCGAACGAACCTAAATCAATATTCCGACGCATAAGAGAAGAACAGGCACGACGATGTATTTAGCAGGTGATAGCGGTGGCGAAATCGATCGCCTGGAATATACAGGGGTTAGGTCTTATGGTAAGTCCAGGGACTAGGTTAAGGTTTTTAATTGTTAATAGTAAATGAGACCACGGCCATATTCACCACTGTCCAGAGACTTGAATCTTGACCAGCCATAACTCTACCACACTAGGGTACATGTGACTCGGTTACGCTGATATAGACACTTGCAAGAACCTTGCTTGCAAAAAATGATGGACGACAAGATCGCATGACAAAGAAAGCTGGCACACCAAATGCACAGTTTGCTTGGGAAGAGGGAAGCTCCATGCGAGATGTGAGCTGGGAAGGGAATGTGAGATGTGTGAGTGTGGCACACAAGAGGTGGAAGAAGCAAGGTAAGGGAGGGATATTTGGCTGGTAACTTGGCTTGGATGGAAGTTGGGAACTCGCACCTTGGAAAGAAGGTCGGTTCGGAACCAACATGGAGATTGGATCCATGGCATGCCATGGCTTGCATTGCCAGTGTCATGCTGCAGAGATCCAGCCAAGAGCATACAGGGGTATGGTCCACTGCTGCTCGATTCCGTTCGATTTTGGTTTCCTGGTCTGGGCTGGGAGGTACGCTATGTGGGGGTTGAGCGGGTGGGAGGTGGGGTGGGGGCGTGGTGGGTGGTGTGGAGTCAGCTGACGAGGCAAACAGGCACGTTTGCCGAATACCGTATCACGAAATTTGGTCTGGTTTGGCTTGGGCTTGTTCAGTGTGGCGGCGGCGTGCCCAGCGGACTGACTTGACTGACGGCGAGCCATTGGTGTGAATGAAACAAGGGAGATCAATGGCTGGTAGGAAACGGTTTGGAGAGTCAAGTGGCTTTGATATGGAACGGAACTAGAGAAGGGAGAAGATCATACAAAGGCCGAGCAGTGCTAGAAGGGTGATCGATCAGGGGCCGAGAGGCCTGGAACTTACCAAACCGCTGCGCGGGGAGGAATTAACAAAAGGGTCTTTGTGTTTTGCACGTAATTCTGCTATAGTGGCATGTACCGGCTCGCATTTTCGCTCGCGTGACGTTTAGCGAGCTGACTCTACGGGCAGCCAAAACAAACTAAAACTCATAGGAAACCTGGATGCAATTTCGGGAAGGATCAACCCTAAACAAGGGGACCTTCCTGGTATTTAGGGTTGATGCCTCCCGAGTTGCATCCTTTTCCGAATGGGTAAAATTTTTTACCTGTGCGTTTCCGATAGGGTAGGTGATATGTATCACTCAGAATATATTATTATGTTACGTACTCACGATTTGATACGCCGAAAATAATTCCAGAAGAAGGCGACGCGCACGCTGTCGTAGAAGGTGGTCAAAACCCTCAATAATGAAATGAACACAAAAATCCGGTTGTTTTAGCAGCTGTCT